CAAATGGTACAAGAACACGTTCATATCTTGAAATTACTATAGTTTTTTTTTTCGTAAAAGTAGAAGCTTTCTTTTACGGTGGGATGAGACCGTGTTTGAAATTGCCGCTTTCAGTCTTCCTGCAGAAACCGCTCGGATCTTCGTTGTCTCCCCGAGCCCTAAAATGTGTTGGGTTGATGAGGGCTAAATCGATTCCAGCGCTTTTGCCGCCTGGGTGGCTTCGTCGGGAAGTGGATTGCGTGGAGATAGCACAAACTGAAAACTACCGGTATCCGAGACACATTGTTGCTGGTTCGCATTCCTTTGGTGGGGTGTGCGAAGGGGGGGGTTGGTGGGAGTCGAGGGTTGTTGTGTGTTTATTGAAGGCGCGAAGCCTTTTCTTGTCGTGTGATCCACCAGCGCGAGGCGCACTCCGGGAGGCGAGAGGCCCGGGAATTCCCCCCTCGTCTCCACAGCGCAGCGAGCAACGGTTGGCTTCTGTCTGCGTTCTCCCCCTGGTGCGGATCATCGGCCCTTTCCTACAGCCGCGGTTATGCGTTTATTTTCCCGCAGAGATTTGGACCCTCGCGTGTTGAAACGGAACTCTTACGTTATCTGAGCCACATCTTACATTTCTATCGCTGCTTCATTGAAGCGCGAGGGTCTGAAGGCTTCTTGCTTCAATTATTTGCGAAGTCGGGAAGCAGGAGGACAGTATCGAATCAACGGGGCTCTTTCAAAACGGAGCTTGAAATTGCGTAAACCTGGCCGCAGCTGTGAACCGATTAACTGATGCCTATTTCATTGAGCTATTTCAGTGTGGAAGCTATGGAATGCGATTTGGATTTGTGCGCTTGAGTACTGTACTAAACTGCTCCTTGATGGAAACTGCAAAATCGAAGGACATCATCGTGTTTCCCTCGGAAACAACGACGGGTCGTTCCATCAATTTAGGATTCATGAAGCGCTTTTTTTTTATGGCGAAAGGTCCGTTCATTGCATCGTAACCTCTTGAACTGACCGAATTAGTGTGTATATGCAGTACACAGCGTATCATTCCTCTTCATAATTTGGCAAGACTGCTTTTCTTTGTACAGATTTTCCCGAAATATATGTTCTTCTACTGTATTGAAGTCTTGTAGCTATTACAGCGTATAAAAATAACTATTTATGACTTCAAAATCATCTTCTAGATAGGTGTTACTTCGAAATGGCTAAAAGACGACTTACAAAGGTTCCAGAAGATGCGGAGAGGTTTTATTTTTGGTAAAGAGCAGTGTTAGTGGAATAAGAATGTGTGTTGGATAATGTACTACTGATTGTTCGAGTTGAAGTCCTGATCAATTCTTATTCTTTTGAAGGCTCGTATTCTTTCCGGCCATCGTAACTATTGTACTGTTCACAATATTTTGGTTCATATAGCTCCGTATCGAAATAGCCGCTTGGGTAAAGAGGATAGATTGTTACAGCGATGGTGGATTCTTTCAATCACAATGCCGCTGGTGTTCTTTATGCCGAGAGTTTCATTTTACGTATTTGTATTTGTAATGGTTTTTGAAGGCCCGTTTAATTTCGGAACGCCTATAGCTCCCGTGTTCTAGAGTATACTGCGTCTTCGATGAAAATAGAGGAAGTGAATTACTGTAGAATCTGTTATTCCTGCTTCTACCCGACGTGAATTCAATTAACTGTGGCTCTAAAATACGGTTCGTAACGTTTGAAGTTATGGACTGACGCAATCAAATACCGCACTTCGTCCTTCTAATTGAGGATGAGCTCTACAGTACTTTTTTATGATGACTGGAAAGGCGCACTGGATTTTTTTTCCCGGAACCTTTTCTGATTTGCGTATCTTCTGGCCTCTGAAGCACTGACAAGCCCTTATCTGGAATGAATTTATTCACTACTCTGCTCCCTCACCTTTGATTGCGTTAGTCGAGAGTAATTGCGTGATGAACTTCGAGCTGAAAATGCTCATTGCTTCTAGCCGTTTCCGTGGAAGTTTTCATCAACCAAGGGTTTTCCACTCCATCGTCGAGGCTTTTCGAGCTGATGCGACTCACTTCTGTATCCTTGTGTCACCGAGTTGTTTTCTGAGGTACTCTCTGGCCGGATTACCGAAGTTTTTTCAGTCTGCCTGTGGATTGACGGCTTTTTGCTGACCCACCCTAGCCTGCATCGTTAACGCTGAAGTTCGCGGTTCTCTCCGGAAGCCAAAAAAAAAAGAAGCTTTAGATTGCCGACTGACGTAGAAAAACTCGTACTGATAAACTTAGAACGCTTCATTGGCGCAAAAGCCGAAGTTTCAAGCTAGTGTAGTTGAACTGAATCAACTGAGGCTTTCAACGGTCGGAATGTCATTCTGCTGCAAAATGGTGTGGTTTCATTTTCAAATTACGTCTGTTCGGGACAGATCCTACCGACGAGAATGTGATGCTCACTGAAGCGAAGATTCTCATCCTTTTCGACTCGCAGGGCCTTCTTTGGAATCTCAACAGATATTGTGCGGCGGGAACTCCTAGACAGATAGTATTAAGAGGGTCTTTACCGCTTATTATATTTACGTTGATCTATTTTTGTGCGGAAAAACAACCTGGCGAGTACGTTATTGTGATCACCGCTTTCTCTGAATCATCATAAGCAGCTTCGATTTTTCTGGGGCCATAAGTCGGGAATACTGTACAGCGTGATGAAATCAAAAATAGGGAATAATTGTTGCAGAAAACCAAACTTCCTCTCACCATCGATACTGCGAACTGTTTTTATTTCTTTTACCGTGTGTGGCGAAGTTCGTCCTGCAAAGAGGCCGGTTCTTTCCGGTGTCTTCCTCTGTTAATTCAGATGCCATACACGTGAATTCCCTTTGACGTCGGCGTTCTTGATACAGTACATAGAAATTTTTCGTACGGAACGTTGAGCATCTATGTTGGCGTAGTTCGTCTCCGGCGATGATTATGTGGTCTTGGCAACCGGCAAAAAGTCAATCGTTGGGTTTCCCAAGCGTTTTGTTCTAGCATTGCTGCTACTCAATAATTTTCATGGAAACGAAATGAAAGGAAATGAAAGCGAACGCTTCAAATTGGGGCAATTTCTGTCGATCACCTCGAAACTCGTAAAATGAAGATCTTGGTGGAAAGTTTCTGTCTTGAAAATGCGTGTAATGTGGGACGATCAAATCTTTGTTTTGGCTGATACAGTTGAAAACGGTAGTCCTGAAAATATCGAAGGTGTTGAAGCACTGAATTTTTTTTTCAATCGACATTATGTCAAACTACTGTTTGAGAAACCCCTCTGTAAGGAAATCGTGCGGGTGAAATGTTCGGAAATACAGTAAAATAATGAAGTCTCAAAATCTACATAGCAATGAATAATAATCAGCAAGTTCTTAGTTTCCGTTTCGAAGGAGGTGTACGTTTTCACATTTCTTCAAGCTACTGTATATTCAGTATATAGCTTTCAAGGAAGTTGAAGGAACTTTTGTTTTTTCGTCTTGCAGATTGGGCTTAAATGCAGTTCACAATCTGAAATATATTTCGGAATTGCTGTTGCTTTTCAAACAAAACTGTTCGCATTTTTATCTTGATGTAATTCACTTCTTTATAGAATCTAAAATCAACCCATTAAACTTGAGTCTTCATAGATTTGTTTTCAAATATTTTACGCATCGCTCTAGGTTCGGCTCTTCGTTCCTTCGGAATTTTATCATGTGCGGGATTGCTCGAGAAACTGATTCAACTCACCCAGCCGAAGTAAATAGTGATGCATGTACTGTACTGTAATTGAAATTTTTGGATTGTTTCGTCAGAATCACCGTAAAAGCATTGACGGGACTTCGAGTAAAACGAGATAATGCCGATTACCCATCAGTTTGTTTTAATCGTCGTCGTTGTACATCTTGGCTGTGTCACGCTTTCATTTCCGTTTTATGTCATTGCTTTTACATATTTGGATTCCTAAAGTTCTACTTTCAGTTGATCGCGTTTGCGTGACGTGGCCGCTTTGTTCGTAGAAGCTGCGAAGTGAGCGGTTTACCGGCGTATCGATTCTGTATGCCAAGAACGAGGCGGAAACAAAGGCGATAAAGTTAGAGGGTCTGATGGCGACCTTGCGTAGGGAACCCAATGAGAATAGCGGGGGCAGGCAGAGGGGGGGGGGGGGGTTGATGACATTGTGCGCCAGGTTAGCCGCTTCGAAATTCCCCTCGTTACTTGGGTAGCCCTGATAATCTAATTGATCGTACTCTTCATGTATTCGTTGCGTCTGAGACCCGCTCGAGTCTCGACAAAAGCTCCATACCCCAGGAGGGATTTGGTTCGATGATCACAGGATAATTTCCGGGGCTGCGTGTTTGTTTTCTTGTATGAGAGGCCGGTGAGGAACGGACTGCGCTGGAAAGTGGAAACGAAGCCGACGGGGAGGGCCTCACATTTCGTAGGAAAGAAGGGAATCCGAGGAAGAAATGTCTGCCCAGTGTTGTCGATAGACGTTTAAACGCCGGTGCCCAGTGATGCTAAAACGTTTGTTCATTCGCGTGGTATTTTACCTCTGCGTCTCTCTGTTATCAATTCCGTGCCTTCTTCCCGACTGAACGGTGTGAACCGCAAGACCTCAATTAGTCACCTGTAAGTAGAACAGTCTTGCCTTGTGAAGTAAAGCTCGCTTCCCCATCAATCCTGGCGTTCTCGTGAAAGCCCCGTCCTTTCTGGTTCCATACGCTGAGGCTCTACTTGGCAACGGTATTCAATCCTAATGCTTCGCTTGCCCCTGGATGCCCCGCTTCGCACTTCAGCACGCTCGACATGCAGGAGTGTATTTTTCAACGACTGCCGCACCCTCACTTTCTTCAGTGTCACGGCGGCCAGAAATCAGGCTTTGCTCCCTGTCATCACACGGAGTAATTGGCTCGGTTGTAACGCGACACGGGGGATTTCTTCCTGCGAGAAAAAAGAACTCGTGCTTCCTCGCCGATGCTGAATTTATGACGATATGCATTGGCGGTACGATTTATTCTCCCGTGATTTATGCGTGGCATTCCACGTTTCAAGGGAGTTTGGAAATACAGTCTTGTAGCTTGTGTTGCTTTCAACGGAACGGCTGTTGTAAACCAGTACAAGAGTGTGCACTCCGGCAAAGAAGATACGTTTTTAGCTCAAATGAATGTTAAATTTGAGTACAGGTATTTTCTGTGTGATCTATTTGTTTTGTTATGGTTTCAATGACCGAAAGTACACTACTCAAAACGTGATGAATGTTAATGAATGATGAATCGTATTGCATTCATTAAGCCTTGCGAGGGAAGCTGTCCCCGAGAACAACCCCAAAATGCTCCGAGATGTATACTGAATATCTCTTTCGTGTACATGAAACTCACATAATATTGTACTGTATAATAGCAAACTGAATGGCAATGTTGATTGACGCGTTCCGCGTGACCTTCCTTGCCTTTTAAACAGTTTGAATACTGTATACCCTCCGCGAGAACATATGGGTGTACATTTTATATATACTGTAGTACTGTATATCGTATATTGTATAAAGCGTACAGTAGTTAGAACTCGCATCGAATACCGAACGTTTTACGTATGGATTTACACTGAAAATTTTGGACCACCCTGTGTTCTTCGGAAATTTCGTGAGATTTACTGCGGAAGAGGGATTTTACAGTACTGCACAGTGATTTATGTATCTAAGCTTTTTCACGCGGCTTGCGATCGATTCATTCACTACTTTTTTCTCTTCCCATCTTTCCAGGTTTATTAGTAGTCAACGTCACATGGAGGGGAAAAACGTACGTCGGAACGCTGCTCGATTGCACTCGGCACGACTGGGCACCGCCAAGGTGAGCCGTTTTGTTTCTCAGCTTATACAGAGGCTTTAATCGAGTTGACGGAGCTGAACCGTTCACATGAACAGTATGGCACGTTTCCAGTGCCGCGAAGGCACTCGAAATTGGCGTACAGTACTGTACTTGTTATTCCCTCTTACTTCTGTGTCAGGCACTTCGTCGCCTTGAATAATTCGTCGCATGAATAATGAAGGCGGGCGTCTGCCGTGCAAAACATTTTCTCCCTCCGCGCTGCGACGTCGAATCTCATTTCTGCGCCCGACGCATCAATCTTCTCGTCCTGGCCATTCTGATATGACCAAGTTCAGATCGTCGATGTTCAGTATATCGTATTGTCTTACCGAAAATGAATCGTGTCTGCGCAAAACACTGACCCTTTGCCTGGATTTCGGTAGCAAAAATTTATCGCGAGCGTCCGATACGGTCCGGAAAGATAAACAGTGCGGTAATCGCATTCAAAGCTAATTGTTTTGCTGGCTTTCAACTGATTGCGCCACCAAGTCGAAAAGATTAATGATCATTCGACGGAAATTATTCAGAAGTCTGCGATAGGTTGGTAAAAATTCGAAGGCGACCGCTTCGTCTGGGATTGAAAAAGCAGCGGGCTAATATTGAGCGAGACTGTGGGATTTGCGGAAACGGAGCGAGCAGCCGTCTGGTTCGTGTTTGCTTTTGCGTTGGCAGTACTGGAAGCTATTCGCTGTGTATTTTCTCACGAGGGAATAGTGCGAAGGTCTATCAAATTGATTAGACGAGGTGGGAAGGAGAAAATGCGATTGATCGCCCGCTCCAGGCCAATATTCCGCGTGCCCAGAAGGTGAAAGCAAACCAAACCTCATATCCGCGGATGAAGGAATGGTTCGTTCTCGGCCGATTGTTTTCAAAGCAGCGGATGGCCGCGCTGTTGTTTCCTCCCACGTATCAGCGTAGAACGGGGGCTCCGGAGTTCAATGCTGTGGTCCCCCGCAGGACCACGTTGCAGGAGAAGACAAAGCGAAACGCAACGTACATATTCCGAGGTTGCCAGAAGTGTCCGACGCCGCACGCGTCTCAAGGTCCGTGCGAGTCTGGGCTTAACACGAGGCAGTCACGCGTTTGAATGAGAGGAAAACGATCGAACTAGATACGAAAGCTACTTGTGACATGCGGACGGTTCGAGTGTCATGTTGCGGAGTGCAAAGCGGTGTTGTCGACGGAAAAGAATTGATCGCCGATGTTGGTCGGCGTTGAAACAACCCTGGCAACTTAACCGCGGAAGTATTGGAACTACGCCAGAATGCCGCGGTTATGAAGCGAGAGCCGAGAGCGGGATGCAAAAGGGAGTTTATTCGGCTAATTTGCTGGCTGCTATGTCTTCGGGAGCAGCGTCGTGACGATTGTTACACCCATTTTAAAGACCTAGAGCACGACGATGGAGACGCGTGTGGTGGAAAGCATTTCTCCAATTAGTTCATTCTTCCATGATTCTTGTCTTCTCACGCGTGTGATCTTCGCCGGATGTTCACACGGTAGTTCCGGGAGTATCCCCAGATTATTCGCGACTCCCGCTTTTCGTTGCATGCCGTGCAGGACAAGGATGTGGTAAAATGAGTTATTAGCTCGAAACGCGATGGTGAGGGATCATCACCAGTATTCGATGTATCGCTTGATGAAAAGCCGGCGGGGAGGCTTACTGGCTTCTCCGGAGGATTACTCTTGTCGTTCATCTCGATGATCCGAGCCGTTGCGCGAACGGCCTTGATTTTCTTCTCCATATCAATGCCTCGTGCTTCTATCGTCACTTCCTCGCTGCTTATGTTCATCCGCACCCAACCGTATAATCTCTTCTTTCTTTAGCAGATGAATATGCATGACCACTCTTTCGTTGGATGAGCCACCTGATTGAATCGTTACAATACTTACAAACACGTTGAATTTCAGAACTGCATAATTCATTTTACAGTACTGTATTATGTGGGTGCAACAAACGTAACTGCTCAGCCAGACATATCCATACAGCACTGTATTTGTTTTGGAAATCCGGTGATGCTTCGGCATCGGTTAACTGTATCAAATTGACTGATGAAGGAGAAATATCGCTGTCAAGAAAGGCCGTTAACTGTAAATTTTAATTCGCGTTGTACCGTAATTTTAGTTGTTAACCGAAGCGGATACCCTTATCTAGGCTAGGGAACACAACTCGAAAACGAATATTTTAAAAATATCCTTGTCATACCTGTATTTATTTACTCGAGAACCATGCCCTTCCCAGGAAGAAGCACACCTGGAATTTGGAAAAGAAATTTCATATCGAACCTATCCCCGCATGAGCCCAGAATCTGTTTTCTGGAAGTGATCGTTCAACGTTGCGAAAAACACAAGGCAAAACACTCGTTTAGGCTTGAATGGAAGTTTAATTCAACTACGGTACAATTTATTAATTTTATTTGTGTTTTTCCATATACAGTACTGCATTTAATGAAGTTATAACTGCTGTATAATTGAACATTTTATCCATTGGAATGTCATAGTATGAAGAAAATATTACCTGAACTACAATTCTGGACTTCACGAAATATTCATGTTACAACTCGGGGATTAAGCACGAAAAATAGATCAATTTCAGACTTCAATTTGATGCGTGCATTTGTACAGTGCAGTATTTTGTTTCTCATAATAATGTTTATTATGATCAATTCAATGGTTAAAAACTGATGATCGGACTTCCGTTCCTTCGAAAACTTTTCACTGCGTGAGGCGAATAAAAAATATACATTGCCTTGTATCATGTTGCACCTTGATGGTCAAATTCGAATTTTTTAAATATGACGCAAGTGTTGTGATTGGCTGATCTATAATCTCCAAATAGCATAGAAATCTTACGAATTAGCTGTAATAGGATCTCAGGCGGTCAGTGTTTTCTAATTTCTTCTCGATTTCGAAAAAAAAAAGAATTTTTCATGAATTATATAGACAATGGTTCTTGATGACAACCATAACATGGAAAATATAAATTCAAATGATTATACTGTACAATTTTAAACCCCCGAAGTTTATCATCCATCAACATGAATCCGTCTAATTTCTGTCTATTTTCATTTTTTCAGCATGCATAATTTGTTTAATGATGTTGTTTGAATGAATCTTTTCTCCCCATCTCAGCAACATTATTTTTAAGACGATTTTTTTCAGATGAACATGCATTAGTAATTCATGATGTGACTAAAAAACCTATGGCGAGAATGAGTAAAAATGTGAAACAATTAGCAATCGCATTTGACTTATATTTGGACCTGAAATCAGATGCTCGCCAAATGTAAAGTTTTAAAGACTGTACTGTACTTGATTTGGAAATTGACCAGATTTCATTTTAATTTTTATGACGCACACTCAGAATCCCGTAATATTTTTGTCGAGTTCTGCAGGAAAAGGTGCGCGTTGTACCTGAGTGAGTATCGTAATCCGATTTTTTTTAAAGTTTCGTCGGTCGCACCTCTGCTTTTGAACAATAATTTCAAGTTGAAAGATTAATGTCACGGCCGCGCAAACTTGAAGAATGTGATGCGAAATGCCTCTTACAGTGCAGTATTTAGAGGTGGAACCTTTGATTGTTTTTTGAAAGTATCATGCATTTATCGTGCATTTGCCAAAGGATCTGTAATGGCCGAATAATGTCTGAGACCTACGTGCGGTTTATGCTCGAGAGTTCCAGCCTCCCCCGAGTTCTTGGACGGATCCTTTTTATGCATCGATGTTCGACATATAATCGTGTGTAATGTGGATAGCTAGCTGCCTTTCTGCTGTCATTTTTATCCATAGATTACTTTTTTTTCTCTATGCAAAGGAATTATGCTTACAGGAATGGTACGGTTGCTCGTTTCGTTTTCTGCATACAGTATTAAGAGGGACCTTCCCCTTATACGGTTTCTCGTGGTGATAGATGATCGAAATGATGCAGTCGTATGTGGTGAATCGGGGTTCGAAAGCGATTGCGCTTAATGGGATGCTTCGGTTCAGTGGCTTCTAACGGATACATTTTGCGCTTGGATAGAAAGAATACTTCCCTTGTTTCTTCTGGAATACTCGCTTTTGTGTTGGTAAATGCGATTCCGTGTTGGGACATTATCTCAATGGAAAATACGTATAACCGAACTTCGCCTTTTGTCGAGTGCTTCATACATCTCGGGAGTGCTTGTCCTGACTGAGCTACCCATCATTCGTAATGCTTGATTCGTATTGAAGATATAGGTTTTATGCTTCCGAATGATCTGTCAGCTTTGACTCAGACGCTAATCCGTCGTCCCGTGAGGTGCGATTGGATGAGGTGGACAAATAAGTTGGTAGCAAATCCTATTGTAGTGGGTGAGTGTAAAAAACGGGACGACCTCTGCTTCATTTGAGGAGTTTTGTTTTACCGCCCGTGACAAGTTGTATGTTCAACTTCAAATTCGTGTTAAAATTAGGTGACTGGAAGCGGCACGAAAGGATCGTATGCCTACCTATGCGATTTCTCATGCCTGAACCCAAAGCTAACGCTTGACTTCAATCTGTCCATAATGCATGCGGATGAATCTCGATCCACTCGGTATTTTGCGTCTTGTGTTATGCTTCCTTGCCGCGTCATCCGATATTGGTCAGATTCTGGTTCACCCGTTCTATCGCCGTCTTTTGTTTGAATATGATATTTACGTACCATCCGTTGGGAATTATCTGCCATGAAGGCCGAAGACCGCCACCGTCGTCTGAACTGTTGATCGATGATCCAACATTTTCTTTGAGCTACCAGAACATATTTTAGCATTCACTCTGCTAGAAATCGAAAGATATTCAAAATCGCAAATTGGACGCGTGGTCAACGGAAGAAAAAAGCGCAGACGAAAGGCAGTAGTGAAAAATGAATACAGTATTTGTCAAACTGTTTTACTGGATCAAATTGCAGTCTCAATTTTTTATGAGAGACCGAATATTGCAGCCCTTATTCCCATTAGGAATACCTTTGTATTATTCTGTCAATTACAACTGACGAGAACCCCATGCAATACTCAACCGATCCGATAAAGTATGCACAAACTTGAAACCCAATTCATAATACGCAGAGCATAGCTGGTTAAAAATTCGTTTCGATCAGCTTTCAAAACCATTCAATATCTAGAAGTCGAATATTTGCAAATTCAATCCAGTGTAACAAACGGTTACGGGTGCTGATCTCCCAGGCCCAGACACGGGTGGAATCTGAAGACTGTATGTAGTATTTTCCGGAACCTTGTTGGAGCCCAGGGCTGGTTCTACAATTTTCTTTCGGATGTAGGTCCTAAATCTCTTGATTATTTAGTATGCTGTCGAAGTTTGTATCGCGTTGACTAGCACGGTGCATCTGCATTTTGTTAACGCTACCTCGGGTATTCTGATGCTGAGACCCGGTGACATGACGTGGATGACATGGTATATCAGCAGTATGCCATGACGTCTCTCCATCGACACGCGTGAGCGAGACACGGGATGAGGGAGCAACGAACAGGGGAATACCTTGGCCTCATCAGGGCCTTCTTTTTTTATCTTCTTTTCTTTTTGTTTACTTCTTTCTCGCTTGTAACGTGCTGCAGTCCGCTCTCTCCGTGCGACACTTTCCATCATTCCGCGAGGTCCGAGCATTTCGCACGTCTCTCCTGCTATTGTTACGAAGAAGATAACAGCTTTAGCGCGAGTTTGGTCCCGCCCTGAATCCGTAAACAAGTACCACTTATTCAGCCGTTTTACGACTTTTCGAGCATTACTTACTAGCAACTTGGCGCGAAGATCAACGTGGGTGAACGCGTACGCTACATTCTGGGAAATTAACTTTTTTGTGTTAAGTCGGGCGAGACGTCGCAATGCTAAAAATTATGTTGTTAAAACACTTGCGGAGGAAGAACCGCTTGAGAGTGCAGTACTTCACCGTCCATTCGACGCATTGTGGAATAATTGACCGAGGAATGAATGTGAGATTGAAAGAATAAACATGGCTCGTTTCAAATCTTACGCTTCCATCAGGTTCTGCGAGTCGCCAACCAGCGACCTGGAAATCCGAACGCCCAAGGGACGTGGGAAACGAGGAAGAGGAAGTAATTGCACCCCGGTAAATGAAGTAATATCTGCACCCGAGACAAGGTCGTCCACGCAAAATAAATTGCGGAGTGGGAAAGGGCGCCGTGGAGGAGCGTCGACGTTTGCCATGCCCCCTTCCCCGGCTAAGCAAGATGGTGCTGCTGGGGTAAAACGAAAAGGTCGCGGGAATGACGGCAATGGGTGCAGTGGTGTGAATGGCACGACGATTGGTGTTGCCGGTGGCGAGTCTCCGAGTGGGAAACGGAGTCGGTCGACGAGTTGCCGTTCCACCCCGACTCCCGTCGGTGGCGGCAACAACAGTGGAAGCAGCAATGGTGCCGGATCAGGAGCCGGGGGCGGCACGACAGCGACGATTGAGCCGCCAGGGTCGCCGGTGCTTATCGAGTGTCCCGAACCAAATTGCGGCAAGAAATACAAGCATATTAATGGGCTGAAGTACCACCAGAGTCACGCACACGCAGATTCTAGGCGATCATCATCGCCCTCGTCGACAATCGGCAGTTGCGAGGCGGTCAAGCTTGAGACCGCTGCCGGATCAGTATCCGACAACGAGACAGAGATGGAAGAGAGTGTGGATGGTGCCGTCGACATCAAAACAGAACCGGGTGAAGTATCAAGTGCGCCTTCGTCTGAATCTGTGATGCTCATCACCCCAAAGCAGGAGAACGTCGATGACACGGAAAGTGCGGAGCAAAGTACTTCCAAATCCGGTGGGCCAAGGTGAGACTTTTTCCTTGTTGAATCCTTTCAATAGTCGAGTACTGTACAGTGCTTCATGTAAGGCGACGAAAGCTCGATGCTCTAATCTACTGCACTTGCGTGGTTGAATTGGATTTCATCCTCGCATTGCCGAAAGAATTCACAGTAAAAAGCCGACCTGGCTAGAAATCAGCGCCAAAAGCAATTGATACGAGTTCGTAAAGTCGGAATATTTTTAAAACGTGATTCGAATCTCATCATCGTCCATCAAAACTTCTGATAACTGCTCCACTTTTCAAGTTTTTTTTCGTAGTTCTATTTATTTACCTTACTTCGGCGTAACGAAAGAATTCGATTTTTAATGAATCCTTGTCGTGGCGGTTGAAATTTTTTCATCGAGGTCATTTGCTCATTAGATTTGTGGAGGCGGACGCGAGTGCAGCACCGCAGGCCACGTCGAGCTCAATCTCAGCAGTTCCATCGACCGTGTCGTCTCATGCTGCTAAAGCGAGCGATGCGGGAGATGAGCCAGTTTACCAGCGCTCAGGACCAAAGCCTGCCGTTCGCGTACCGGCCGCAAACGGGGACAAACTTCGGCCTCTGACGAATACGAAGCCCATTATGCCTATACCATCGCAGCAAACCGTGACCTTGTCGAGTGGGGTGTCTGCCAATAAGCCTAATGGACCCCTAGGATTGGCGAACATGTCTCCTCTCTTACCGGCCCAGTCGCGACCGTCTCTGATCGCTGAAAGTAATCCCGTCGTTTCCGCGGAATTGGACAATTTGCGACGCGAGCGCATCAAGAATCGGAAGCGCAACAAGGACGGCAAGATGGCTGGGTCTAGACCACCCAGTGCTGCTTCCAGTCCCCCTAGCGGTTCGTATAACTTTTTTTGACCTATTTCACACCGTCTTTCTCCTTGATCCTAATTATCTGTAAAATTTATGAGCTGCCTTGCCGTTTCGTTGCTCCATAAATTCCTTCGTTCGGCTACGATTCATATTCCCGCCTTATGTTTCCTATCAGCCTTCCTGTTTTGCTAGACGTTGATGTTTATTCAACTTCTTTCTTCCTTTAGCTGGCGAAGCTGGAAAAGTTGGATCACCAGCTGTCGTCGTGCAGGTTTCCACGAGTTCCGTAATGGTTCCGACGACGAATTCCGTGACCACTTCTGCTTTGCTGGGTCCGATACCTAGCCTGAGCCCGTGTCTACCGCCTACGAACGTTGATGAACCCTCATCGCGTGAGGAAGTGCAGAGTCCGGCGTACTCGGACATATCGGATCCGAATGACAGTGGCGCGAACGATTCTCATTGTGATGTGCAGGGAGTTGGCGCCAAAACGGCGTCGAATTGTGCCGAGGCACCGAAATCTCCTTTGACTGATGCGTCACCGCCGCCTCCGTCACTGCAGCCCGGTTACCCAAATTTTCCGTTTTACGGGGCACAACTTCCGTTCCCCGTTTCACCCGTTCCTTCGTTACACCGACCGATGGGCGGGAGTCCTGGGCGCACGAAAGGACCGGAGTCGTCCCCATCTATGCCGTCACCCGCACGTAAAGACGATGTCCCTCCGACGGCGAAAGATGAGCAACGAACGCGGGATGGCAAAGCACCAGGTGGGGACAAAATGATGCCACAGGTCTACCCGTATGGATTCAACTACCATCAGTACGGGGCTGTGGATCCGAACTTCTTACGTCTTGGGTCAGATCCGGCGTATAAGCAGTTCGTCCAAGACCAGGAGAGAGCTGCGTCGGATTCCGAAAAGAGTTCCTCGCAGGTGAGCATTTTTGTCGTTGTTTATCCTTTGTTCAAGATCAAGATGTCATTTGAATGATTATGAAATCTAATGAGATATGGCCTCTCGTCGCCACCTTGATTGAGATGCCGATGCGATAAAATTTATCTGACAAGGCTTCAAACTTCCTACTTCAAATCCGTGAGCGGCTGTACACCAAGCCTTGGACAATAATGAATGAAAGAACAGTTGGCGGCAAATCCTTTAAATTTCGACTATTCGTAATTATTATAGGAAGAAAATTTTTCGGCATGGGAATAGTGTCATGCCGAAAAAGTCTCACAGAAAACCGAAGGGATCTCCAGGTTAGCTTCTGGTCATCACACTGCTGAGCACAGTTCGCCAGTCTCGAGAACGTTAAATGTGAGAATGAGCAAGGCTTATGGTTACACTGGATCATAACAAACCAATGAACTGTACAAAGCGGAGACTAGCAGATGCGAACAGGCCTAAATTTTGTCATGGATTTTTGGTGTAAGGGGTTGCTCGTTCGGGCGTATACGGTGTAAGGGGTTGCCCGTTTGGAATGTTCAAAGCAAGCAGCGAGGCGTAGCATTCTGGTCAGCTGTCGATGCCGATAGTTTCGAATTTTTCGCGTTTCGCGAAGGTTCACGGAAGCTTGAAATAGTTGGATAATTTGCAGTTTTCGCGAAGATAACGTTTGAATAGTTATCAGAAGAACATTTTGGCGTCTCCTTGAGAATCATGAACGTCACTGATCACTGTGGAACGCTTTGATATTGAATTTCGTACAGTTCGACTTACGAACTTACGCATATGTTCCTTGCTTTCTAATGGTGAACTATCTTTTGCCGGGAATAAAATCTTCGTCATGTTTCTAATTTTTTCCTGGAACTTGTCCGGGTTCGACGTTTTTGTGAGGTCGAACGGACGTGTGAGCTGATTTAGCTGCTACAGGTGTTCATTTTTTCGTGCGTGGGCTTGGCAGTTGAAAATTAAATTAATTGTGCACAATAAAACCGGAGTTTGAGAACGGAGTATAACCGGAACATTCTTCGGGTGTACAGTACATACATGTGATATTTTACGAACGACGCTGTACTAACTTGAATGGAATGCCTGCGAGAGTTCTACGATATACATTCCTGCAATATTCAAGTCGAGAACTTACCAAACTCAGCTGAATCGTGAAAAATTCGTAATTAAGGATTGGGCAAGATTACAATTATAGTACTTTATTCACCATTTTGGTGCGAGGTACGCACGTCCCTGATTTTCGGATTGAGGTACAGTTCAATACTCATATTGGGTTACAGAAGTTTTCATCGGTAGCTCCTTGATCCTTATGAACTACGGTTTGTTATATAGATTCGTCGTACCCGTGTCATTTTTTTAAAGCGAGTAATATACTTCTTCATAGTGGGACCCTATTTTGAGATATTTTAATTATTGTACTGCACACTTCAAACTTTTTCTGGATTACGAAATGCACTTTCTTGAATAACATAATTTTTAAAAATGAGCCGTGTTCAAGAAAAATTTGAGTTCTCTGAAAATCTGAAACAGTGTTACAGTATTTAGAACAAATAAAGCACAAAATACATGAATTGCAATCTTTCGAATAATCGCCGAATTTTTCTCTGATTTGGAAGAAAATGCTCATAAAATGGCGGAAATATTTGAGAAAGCAAGCATAAGTAATCTGTGATTCGCAGAGGATACCATGATTCAACTTCATTCTTCTTGTATCTTGACCGTAACGGCAGCCGGATTCATCACGCATCTTCTTCAGTCACTCACTCAAAAGTTCCATTACGTTTAGTCCCTAGTACTCTTCCTCTTTTTCTGGGAAATTGCTACTCCGATGATCACCAGTTCACCACTGGCAACATTTTGAAAAAGGGGGGAAATTTACCTTCTTCCTTAGATGCTAGTTCAGTAGATATTGAATTTATCCTTACGTTTGAGATACTCCAGTAGAATCTCGTTACAATGAAGCGTTTGGGACCTTGAAAGAGCTTCGTTATGAAAAAATTTGTTGAAACGAAAATTGAGATGAAATGTTGGCTATTGGAACGAGAGGAAAAAATTGGAAGCATTAATTCATTATGACGAGATTCGTTTTAACGAAACTCTACTGTATATACAGGTTTTCATACCATAAATTTATGCCTGTTCGGGGTTTTTCTGTGGGTTCAAAGGTTTTCAGTGAACGGTAATTAATTTACTGAAAATTCAAAATTCCCTGAACCTCGGGAGAGTGTTACAGTACCAGCAATCTAATGCACAAAAGCGGGAATGAATACTATTCATTTTCTATGGAGTACTGTATTTCTCAATCACCTGTCAAAAGAACAGGAAATCGAAGAATATGCTTACGGATGAATGAAAACATTTTGTCGAAATATTTGGTGTTCCAAATTCGTACGTTTTTTTTCAACAACGAAGATTCTTTGAGAAGACATTGTGAATTTTCAAACTCAGGAATCTTGCGCAATGAAGAAAAAAAGGGAAATTCTGGCGAAAAATGCATTGTAAGTAATTTTTGAAGGCCATGAAAGTCATTAATAAAATTCTAAACGGCGATGGGATGATCTGCAGTTTTATTTTCTCAAGCTGTCACTATTGATGTATCAAAAAATCGTGCTTTTTCGTTTTGCACAGATATTTATCCGGATTTCCAGAAAAGGATTTGAAGCTTTGCTTTTGAAAATATTCCAGATTTTGGGGTCCGACTGTACTCGCCCTATAATCAGAGAATCATAAGATGTTGCAACAATATCATTTAGTCCTTGTCCAAATCGCGTTCATCCATTAGAGGGAGGTTTCATCGTCTTCTGTAGGAAATATTATAGTTGAAATAATTTTAGGGTATGTACTCGCATTTGCAGATGAAACGTGGGCCGATCTTGTTGAGCGGGATGGAAAAGGCTGGACAAGGGCCGACGGATTTGAGCAAGTCTGTGGGAAACCTGGGCCTACCCTCGGGAACGAACGTGACCGTGAAAGATGTGAAAACAGGTGGAGAAGGAGCCGTGAAAGAGGCGAAATCGATCCCTATGTCGGATGACAAGGGGCATCGTCAGTTTCTTGGTGCAAGTCGAGCTTCCGGCGGCGGTGGTGTTGGTGCGGGGGACGAGAAGCGCGACCTGTACGTGGCTGTCAGCCGGCACGGAGGTGGCAGTGTCTCTGCTCCTAAATCAGGCTCGTCATCTAGTCCGAAATCCCTGCCGCCTGGAAAGTCGGAAGGAGGAAAGGAAGTGAAAAAGGATGGCGATAAGAAGGGTTGTGGTGTGGAAGGCGTGAAGCCGACGATGGAGACGCACGGACCGCCGCCACCAACGGCCACAGGTGCCCCGTCCTACGCTTATCTGCACCACAGCTACTTGGGGTCGCCGCCGTACCGACCCCCCGGCGTGCCGGGGTTTATCGACCCGAACGCATCGATGTTCCCGCGAATTGCCCCTAGTATGATGTGGCACGGTTCGCCGTTCGCCGCATACACGCCGCCCGGCATGCCTCGATTCCACGAGCCGGGGGCTGCTGGACCCGACGCTCAGGACTTGAGTGGCAAGTCCATCAAAGGACTGGACCTTCTGCGCCACAACGTGAGCATCTATCCGTCGGGTCCTCCGGTGACGATGGCGGCAGCAGTGGCGGCCCACAAGATCCACGAGCTGCAAGACGCGGCCAACAAAGGTGCAGGGGCTACGGGCACCGCCGGAAAGCCGCCTTCGTCGGAGAGCGGCGGTGGGGAAATGTCGCTTGCCATGCCGCAGCCCAGTTCACCAGCCATCGGGATCGCCGAGGGCAGTGTGACGAGTTCCGTCAGCGCCAGTTCCTCGGCGAGTCGCTCTCCACCGGCCCAGCATCACGTCCACACGCATCATCATACGCACGTGGGACTCGGCTTCCCGCTTCCTGTGGCCCCCCAGTTCACGGGGCCCTATCCTGGAGGTGAGTGGCTTCGCGGCTTCTTGAAAATTGATACTTCTGCGCTCCCACGGAATAGCGACGTACTAGCACTTACTTCCCCCATCAGCTTCTGCTCATTGCCCTCCCCATGTCCATGATTCGAGTAAGTTGAGCGCCTTACGCACCAAATCTAACAGGTCTTTTTGTTCGTGGAAAACATTCGATTCCTATCATATTCTATAAATGACGCTCATACAGAACTTGGAGTGCTTTGTTCAACTGCCTTGAGCGACGTGGATGGACGTCGTTTTTTACGCCACTGAATGTCGAAAAATATTTTTCAACACAATGCGGCCTGTAATCGGGATTACCGTACCTTTGATCTAAGCAAAGAAAAGGAGGAATTCCTCCGGAACAAATTATTTTCTTTTTAAAGACGCACTTTTCTTCAAACGTATTATTTTTCGGCTCATACACTTTTTCGTTTGTAAATGCCTGTCCGGGATCCCGACGATACCTTCAATTTCGAAAATGAAGGGGCGATTTCGTACATTTAATTTTCCGATTAATCCCTCTCCGTTACCATTGTAATATTAGAGTATGATGTGGTCGGCGTTGGAATGTGGAATATTGGATATAAGCAGGATAGAATTTGAAATTCCTTCCTTATTCGACTTTTGAGAAACTAATGTATGATAGCTCTTTTTAAGAACTTGAAGTGATACCGAAGCTTTTCTGTAATTCACCGACTACGTAGGCCACGTTTCTTTCCCCGAAGGCTATGATCGGAAATTCTGGTGTGTCCTATTCTTTAATATTCTGTGTATTCTTTTGTAGACCTAGATTAATGCTGAATATGCTCGGAAAATGTCATAAGATTTGTGATGTCGGAAATTTTTGAGATGAAACGAACAAACTCTTGAAGTTGAAAATCTCGAAATGAAGCAAGAACTTTAAAACATTCTTAGTCTGATTTCCTCTTAGTGAAAAATTCTCAGACCGAATATGATGAATTCTTCGGCGAAATAATCATCTCTTGAACTTTGAATTCGTGGGGGCAATACAACTACACAAATCTTTCCGGAAATGGCTACCCAAAATCAGTGTGGCTTTCCTTGCATATTACAATACAGTACAATACATTATAGTTTAAATATGCTTTTCGGGTGCGAATGGACTACAGTAGTAGTAAACCCGCCCGCTGTCTTAATGTTATATGAAGTGTCCAGCGCTCTGCGTTTTCCCGTGTTTGAGAAGTTTTTGCAGAAGATTAAAAGTTCGGTAGTTATTTGCCGAACCTGACGAAAGGGGATTCCGGTATGTCTGATGCGAATGATCCACTGCGTAGCTTTTTGTCAGCGTGTTTCGTTATGCATCGTAACATTTGACCCGTTTAGCATATACAGTACTGAAGCATATACAATGATCTCTGGGTTCCTAAGTATCCCGCGCACTGTTCTCTCAATCTTGTGAAATATTCCGCTCGAAACAATCGGTTGCGTCTTTCTTGAATTTAGAAATTCCTTCGTAATATAGCTTGGTGAATTAATTACAGTATTTGAAACAAGCGCTGTTGAAAAATAATGTACTGCATCTCTTCGCTCGCTGCGTGATTGACGTCTTTTTTCCCGTCTGATTAATGTTTCAGCTGCTGTGCTGGGAACGCCTCAACCAGCTGTGTTCCCTCCTGCTGCATACGGCGCTTCTCCGAATCAATGAGTTGACCCGGATGGATATCGTGTTCGTTAATTTATTTTGCCTGCGTTGTTATTGTGTTTTTCTCGGTCAGCTGTTAGTACGAACGGAGCACTTGGTTCGAGATGCGTTGAATAGCCGATGGCGTTGTTTTGTCACCGGACGAACAGCGTCGGATCATGCTGTTCCTTTGAGCTGTGAAAAAATTCCATGACTTGTCCGTTCTGCCGCTTTCGTTGTCGCTGGCTGTCGGTTTTGTAGGATTCGTGCGACAGATTATTCAGTAGTGGCGGAAACCAGCCTACTTCAGGAGATCGTAATCGGGCATTGACATCTTTTTTTTTTTCGTTTCCATCTGGGGTTTTGTGGTGTTGAGCGGAGAAGCTAGAGAAAGGGGGGGGGGGGGGGTATTTTGGCACTCGCATCGAGTAGCGTCTTGGTGAACATCCGCAACGAGGACACCCGAGTATTTGCGATGCTTTGCGCGAGTTGCTTTTAGCCTTGTTCGTGGTTTGCACACAGCGTCGATTTTTGTTTGGCTTTCATTGTTCGTGCCGTTGCTTCCATGTGAATTCCTGCGGACGTTTCGTGATTTCCCCCTCTTTTGTGCCCTGTTGATGCAAATATTTTTATAGCTGGCGGAATTTTGTTGTCGGAAATGAATCGGCAAATGGTATCCAGTTGATACGTTTGTTTTTGCATGTGTCATCTGGATGCAACTTGCGAGAATTTGCTTCACAGTTCCTTCTGTGTGATGCGTGTCGGAGAGAGAGAGAGTGCGTGTCTGATCTACCCGATTCCCTGAGCGGGGTAGTTTTTGAATTTACGCTTAATGAGGGAGTTTTTGCTTCTAGTTTCGGGTCTTGGAAGTCCCTCGTTCAAATTTACCTCGTCCTGCATTTGTGTATCTTTGTGAACGATTTTCGAGCGCGGGGAGCGAAATGAAATTTCGGGAACTGGATCATGTGTTCCCGTACGATGCTCTTAAATTACCGCCATCGTGGTTGCGTTACGGATGGCTTCTCTTCTCACTCGTTTGGTACCATTTTCATTGTTTTCTTTTTTGATTGAGGAAACGCGTTTCGCTCCACAGATCAGCTGCAGTTACGAGGCTTTTGTTGGTTGTTCCTTTCCTTTTTTTTTACGAAGAGCAGACATTTTCGGCGTTGTGATCCAAGAGTACCCTTGCCCAGACCGAAGTATGGTCCTTGGTTGAAAGCGGTCCACATATCAGGAGGTCAAATGGTTGTCGTCATTGCCTGCCCACGCACGCATCTGGTCATTCCGTGGAGTATGGGCCCGATTTTTGCCTCGTCATTTGCTTGGAACGCTTCCCCGTTACCCATACGCGCTTTTGTCGATTTTTCTTTTTAATGTTTCCCCCGTCTGTTCGTTCATCTCGAACGGGGTACTTACGTGATCGTTGGGTATTTCTTGAGAAGAAAAGGAAGAAATCGCATGGAAAGCAGCGAATGGGGTGGGGGGCAGTTGTGGCGTTCAGTTCTTCGCTAAAGCGGGGCGAGAAGCGCTTGTTGGGGAAGAGACTGGCGGAGTGCGTCGTTTTATGGGAAGGGCGCGAGATTCCCTTCGGCATGATTTTCTTGTTCCTCTCGTTTGCGCTTAGTGATAAGGTGTACTACTGACGGATACGGAATGACTTGCGGGGGAATAAAGAAAACTTCCTGGTCGGTTATGTATGTTTAATTTGATCAAACGCCCGCGGCTCTTTCTCGTGGGCCCCATTAACCGCGCATGATAGAAGGTAGTTACTTCGAGGTAGCCTCCTTTTCCGAAAGTTATTAAAAGTTTTAAAATCCCATTGCCTAGACCTGCCGTGTGTACGGCCCACGGTGGTTTCTCCAATATCATCAATTTGAAAATTTTGTGACCAAACATTTTCCTGCGCTTAAGAAAAATTGAAAGTTGGGGGTGTTAGCGAAGAAAAAGTTATATTGTATCTTGTAAAGGGATGTTTGGTTGTAGCTACCCACCAGGCAGTAAAATGAAATTAAAGATAATCCGAATGTCTGAATTATCATTGTTTAGATGTCTCCCTTCGACTAAGCGTGAATAATCCAGCTTCGACTAACCGTGAATAATCCAGCCATTTATAAGGAATTACTGAAGGAAATTATTGACACATAATTTTCGCATCTTGATAGTGCTGCATACCTTCTCCGAGGAATTTGAGTTCAGTTACACTATTGAATTTCAGCAGTAAATGGATGAAGTGTCCAAAATAGCATCCATGCTTTTCAATATCAGGAAAGTTGCCTTTTTCAATGAATAGAGCAGCACGAGAAGGACTTTTATGACATCTTTTGCGTTATGTTCTGTTTGATGACGATTCATGCCTGCTGGATCATGAACATGGACAATGCTGGTCTAATCGTAATTAAGGTAGACATTCTGGACTGAAAAAAACCTGCACAAATACTACACGGAGCTTTTATACTCTCGAGGTACTGTATTTTTATTCCAACAGTTTTTTGGTATATTAGTCTACAGTGAAAGACCATATTAATTAAATTTGATGATTTTTGATTTAACATATTTGTGGTGGTGCAATATGAGATAAAAGTGAACTTGCCCTATTCACCGTGTAACCTTGTCAAATTATATGGGCCAAGAGTGGAAATGATGTAGTACGTAATAAGAAAATACTCTTTATACGAGTTCTAGAAGCAGCATCCACTGTGTTGATCTGTTTGCTTTATCGGAAAAACATATGCACAACTCGGACCAACAGCCGCGTTCCTTCTAATCGATTCGCTATTTGATTAAGTAGCTACAAAATCCCTGCCAAAAAGTTGAAAATATCTCGGAGAGATGTTTGTGAGAGGTCAAGCGAGAGCTTCTCAACTCTTAGCTTTTTCTTTACCAGTTGCAAAATATGGGATTGTTCGAATTTCACACACTTGCTGCCAAGTACTGTACCACGAATGTTTTTTAATTGAATTTAGAAAACTGTTCTGTTTGACGTTTTCGAATCATACTCGACGTACAGTAATTAACTTCACAGTTAAGTGCTTCTGATGCGTGTCCTTAAATCCAAGCCGATTTCCTTTTGGTTAATTTTCCTTTCTTCCTTTTGTCTTTCTGCTAGTTTTTTTTTTCCTATTGCAGCTCTTCACCCTTGTTTCTTTTAACGAAACCGAGCTGTAGTTGAAGAACATCTCGATGCCACATGCCAGGTGCCCGCATACCACCGGTTGAAAGCTGTTAGTTAAGCTACCCACTGCTGCTTTGTCTTGGCAAATACTTCATCACATTGTTTCGTCACGAAGAATTCAGTGCTTGTTCTAATTTCTACAGTGTGTCGCAATGGACAAACCGGACCGGCAAACATGAATCATTTCGTGCGGATATAATGCATTTGGTCGAGCCGTGTGACTGCTCCGAATCTTCGTCAGTGTGAGACGAACTAGGCCCCCAAAGGTTAGGGAGGGTCGGAAAGTTGTCGAGGAGTTCCGCCAAGTTCCTAACGAGGGAATCACTTCCCGATGATAAATCCTTAAAGCTTTGATTTGCAGGCGTTCAGCCGATTCCCGTGCCTTGGTCCTGCACCGCTGGATCCGACATCCTGCTGTTGGGGTTTAAGTTCTCCGCTGTGCGACGAAGCTCACGGAGGTGGCCGGAGTAACGAGATGTCATCTACGCCGTGGGGACTCGCGGCATTGGGTAACGCATCGTGAGTGAAGCAACCCGTAAGGGTTTTCTTCCCGGTAAGCACTCGACATCATTTTCTCCGCCGTCAGCTTATGACCCGTCTCGCCTGAGATGTCGGCACGGTGTCAGTAGACAAGCACAGAGATGAGAAACAAGAAGGAGAAAAGCATCCATACCGAATTATTTTACAGGATCAAATTTGTATCTCACTGGAAATTTTTGTTTTCCTTATCTGAGGCATTGGATAATTCGGAAATACCTGTGGGCCTTTCACGGAAGACGTATGCCAGGCTTTTCTTCTTGCGAGTCCCCTAAAAGAGCCTCTGCCGTTGGATAGAACTAGGTTAACGCTTTTAAGAAAGTTATCTTGAGTGTGTGTCAGAGAAAATCATTCCATTTCGAGCAGACAATCTTTTGAAATCTGAAAATGTTGACATTCATTTTGCGCACCGGAATAAAGACTGAGCTATGAATAACCAGTGGAATGCTCAGAGTATATGCCTTCGAAGAATCGGAGTCCGAAGAAGGGTTTTAATTTTATGATTTTGTGAAAATATATATCTATACACTGTTAACGAAAATCGTGTAAGAATCTTGTGCAATGATATGAGAAGAGCAATGAAAATGTCTGCTTCAAGTTTGAATTTTGATCGAGCAATTTGCAGGACATCGAAAAATCCCTCATGCACCAGACCTGTGATGAACCGTTCCCGGATTGTCGGGGAAACAAAGCGTCATGTACACCTAATTTTTACATTAGCCGCCTTATTTCTCTCTCATAAGCTTTCCTGAAATTTCCGGGAATGCTGATTATACAGTACTGTATCTTGTAACGCCGTTCAACAAATTGTCGGCTCTTAAAGAGCTTTTAAAAGTATCATATCGTCTGTGATACTCGATTATCCGCACAAAGTAACCCTGTCGTTAGCCCGGATAATCTCTGTTCTCATGTACAATGGAGAGAACAGGAAAAAAACTCCCTTCTCTTTTTTTAACCTAATCGATTGAACGTACTGCACATTGTTTATACAGAACATTCCTAATGTGATGTGAGAGGGGTTCGTTTTAAAATGTTTCTAAACCCTGCTTTACTGCCCTGGAGAAAACAAAGCAGGACTTCTAAAAGCGATTGAGAAATGGTTCATCCCTGTGGCTTTTCTATTGTTGCTTTTAATCTAGTTGCTTTCCTTCGGTCACCGTCGGCACTTGATCTTTGTCAGCATTCTTCGCGTGTCTGTCGCTCGGGACGTAAGCGTGAATGTTGCGTCGGTTCTTGCCCGTTTTGAATTATTGATTGATCGCGTGCTCATCCGCGCAGTCCTTGTGCTGGGAATGAGGGATTATTACTGGAAGTCGAATGAGCTCTGCTCACCCGAGCGGCCTTAGCCCCCCATAGTGCCGCTCAGTTGCCTCCGTATTCATGCTTTCTCGCGAGTACTTCCGCTCTCGTCACCCGCTCGAGATTCAAGGATAAACGCCAGTCACTTTGTCTTCACGGATCATCTTCGTCTTGACTGAAAAATGTGTTCATCCGCTTGACGAACTACGGAGAAACAACTAGCCTTCAGTTAACTCCTGCTTGTTTATTCTTCTAATTCTCGTGTCGAGCGACCGGCGGAGGAAAAAGTGAAGCGGTTCTCGCAAAATATTTCTCACGGGAAACGCTAGCCAAATACCTCGTGACGTTGAAGAGCTGTCTTCACGGCTGGTCCTGACGGTAGTCCTATTAACTCGAGTGCCTTCTCCGGGTCTGCGCTAATTGAAGTGACGTCAGTTTAATCTACCGGGACGCCGAGGTTATGAAAACTGTGTAGAATCCGTCACGCTTTCTGTTTCTCTGACCCAAAGTTTACTTCACAACTAACTCGCGTGAAGCTTTGAAATTTCATTCGACGCGCGGAACTTTTCTCGTGGTTCTGTTCTCTTGGCGTTTAATGACTGGCAAGGTTTTCGTGAATGAAGACTTCAACGAATTCCCGTACGGATGAGTACGCAATGTAATGAAATGATCTTGTGTGAGCGTGATCGCAGTTTATTCGGAGGCCCACGCACCATTATTTCGAAAGAAGCGTGTGGATTGTAAAATTAGCTTTCTAATTCTCTAGTGCTCCCTGCTGAGGGAAGGATCTATTGCATGAGTGGATGGAGCAATTACTTGTGACCATCTTCTGTGGATCCGCTTTTTTTTCCCCCAAATCCATTAACTGTGAAACTGCGAGCTGAAAAACATTCGGATGCACATGACAGGTGAAAAGCAGCAAGAAAGCACGGGTTTCAGATTGTTTCACTTGAAGTTTTCTTCGAAATTTCTCGCTTTCTGAAGCGTTCCCTGATTCTGAAGGTGGATTGATCGGAACTTTTACCCATCAGAAGCGCTACGTATGTAGTACGAAATCATGAAAATTCAACCATTCACAACTTGCAAAAACACAATGGTACAATGCAGTATGAAGATAATTCCTGATGATGAAAGGGTTTGTTTCGATCAACATCGAAAATCATGCTTCACTGCTAGCGAAAAAAAAATCGAAGTTACAAGTAGACAATTAAAAGATCCAGGAAAATGACCGGTCGTGGTGCTTTTTCTCTGACGAGTGAGGTCTTCTTCAAAATGAATTCAGCTTGAAACTCGATGTTCAGGTTTCCTCCTAAGGTGTAAAATCAGATTCGTCACGGTGTAGATGAAGTGAATTGTATATTGTTCAAGAGTTCGGAGAAAGGAACAGCGCGAGCAACTGAGATACTGCATAATTTTGGGCCTGAAATTAACCGTAGACCATTTCATTTTAACCTCGAATCGAAGTCCGAGGTCCAAGAAAAATCCCTGTAGGCTCGCCAGCAAATCATTGTTTTGATGCATCAATTTGGAATTCCATAGTGAGAAAATCCTTTTCTTATAAATGCTCCGCTGAAGAACGTAAATCGAACGGAAGAGTGGGTATCGAAAGATAAAATAAAAGATTAAAGCAAGGA